GTTTTTGGTGACAGAATCTCTGCTTATCTAATTTCCATTAATGATTATGTGCACTTTAAAAGAAAGTAGATTTAGAATATTTGCTCTTTCCCCTGACCTAACCTGATCCCCTCTCCCCCTTCCTCTGCAAAAATGCATACCCACCTCAATCCCACAACTGAAGATTCACAGTTTGTTTACATCCAGTGCTGCAAATCATTACTGCCCTGGCCACACCTGCATAATACAGCCTTATAGACTTTTATAGGACTGTCTCCAGCCTTAGGACACAGTCCCTAGACAGATTCTACAAGAGGCTATGGGGCAATTATATGCAAGCTTGGTCAGGACAATGAAGACTATCTCCACTGAATGTAAACAGCAGATCCACAGCCATCAAATTTAGGTAAGTATGCATAAGAGGAGGGGGAGAGTGGAGTAGGTTAAGTCAAGCGAAGAGGATAAAAAAGGATACGTTCATTTTGTTTTAAAGTACATTTATCTTTTAATTCATTTCTTAATAACCATTATCATTTATTTCAATTTCTAGTCTAATAAATAGTCAGATAAGTTCAGTTACCAAGAATACATGACTATAATCCTGTTATTTTATGAATAATATTATAAATAATAGGAAAAGAGAAAATAATCCTTTGAAAGCCGTTACAAGCAGAGAAAATACAGCATGCATGTATTAAGATTGGAATATTTCATATCATTCTTCCTGCCAGCATGGATTTTCTTGTGTTCAGCTCAGGTTTAAAAAGTAGAATATACAATTTTGGAAAAAATATACAGACTAATATTCCAGCACTGGAGGTCAGTATGGCGAATATCTCCACAGCTACTGTATACTTCCCTCTGGTGCTCAGATAAGCCAGGATCATGGCAATCCAGACACTGCAGAAGACCAGCATGCTGAAGGTGATGTATTTGGCCTCATTAAAACTGTCCGGTAATGTCCTCACCATGAAAGCCAGAACAAAGCTCACTGCTGCCAGAAGCCCCATATAACCCAACACAGAGTAGAACCCGATAACGGACCCTTCATTACACTGAATGATGATCTTCCCAGGAGAAGAGTGCATGTCATACTCTTGAAATGGTGGAGAGATGGACAACCAGAAAACACCATTCATAACCTGAATTAATGAGCAGAACAACAGGACTGTATTGGGAAGTTTGACTCCCACCCATTTCCTATAGGAGCTTCCAGGTCTGGTGGCTTTAAAAGCAATAAAAAACGTGATGGTTTTGGCTAGGATAGAAGATAGTGAGATTGTGAAGACAATTCCAAAGAAGACTTGTTGCAGCATACAAGTTATATCCACCGGATGTCCAAGGAACAGGAACACAGAAAGGAAACTCAGCATGAGAGAGAAGAGCAGAATGAAGCTGAGGTTCCTGTTATTGGCTCTGACTATGGGAGTGCTCCGAAACCAAACAAATATTCCAAGTATACAGAGAGATGCAGTGGAAGATATGGCCGAAGATGCAGAAAACAATATACCCATAATGTCTTTCTCATATGACAGATACTCATAACATTTGGCAACATGTTATGCCTCAAACAATTTCTAGCCTCATTAGGCCATTGATCTGCAGGACACATCCGGGCAGTTTTCACTATCTGTAGAAGACAAATATACTGAAAAATGTGCATAATGTACAATGAATGCGGACACCCAACCTTCTTTTATTTATTTATTTACAGTATGTATTACAGGTATTTATATAGCACCAACAATTTATGTAGTGCTTTACATAGTTGTACATTCACATCAGTCCCTGTGCTTAATGATCTTACAATCTAAGGTCACTATCTCAGAGGCATACATATGAGGGCCAATTTATTTAGGAGCCAATTAACCTTCCAGCATGTCTTGGGAGTGTGGGAGGAAAACTGGAGCACCTGGAGGAAACCCACTCAAGCACAGGGAGAACATGCAAACTGCTTGCAGATGGTGTCCTGACCGGGATGTGACCAGAGTGTATTGATGACCAGGCATGGTTTACCAGTGTTGGCATGTGTCAGTTAACTTGACAACACCTCTATGACTCATCTCTCCAACAGACAGTGGGTATGGAAACTCAGAACACAAACATATGTGCATTCCTAGTTCTCAGCAGGAAGGTAAATTAACATTCTCCCAGCAAGGCACACTTTGTATTCTTACTAATCGGGGTAATTTACTAAAGTCAAACAGACTGTTCACTTTTCAAGGGAATTAACACTTTGCAGGGGAATTTTCTTTAAGCTAATTGAATGAGGTGAAGCTCTGCTGACTTATATCAACCAATCATGTGCAAGCAAAAATACTATTTTGTTTTAATTTTTCTTGCATGTGATTGGGTATTCTTTGCAAAGTCAGTTTTCACCACATTCACTACAGGAAGAGAGAATTTATTTGCAAAGTGAACCATATTATTGTCTTTATTGAATTAACCAAAATAAATCATATTGTAGGGACAAAGGGGTTAAAGATTGATTGTATTGAGATGAACACAAAAACATCCATTGTCAGTCTTCCGCTACAAATTATAGCTGCCTGGCCATCTCTGGTTTGTATACTTTCAGAGCTTACAAAACATTTATGGTCTTTTAAAAGTTCTTAATGGGCAAGTCTGGTACAAAGCAGCACTTAGTTAAAGCATATCTAAACCCAGAACAAGCATAATAAGATATTGCAGCTTACCAAGCCTTAAATGTAGTTGGCTGCTTTAGTGTCTTTCTAAAGCTTTTACTTTTGGGTTTAGATACGCTTTATGTTCTTTACACTTTTTATTTTTTGCCCTACATACCCTATGAGCTTCCCAGTTCCACTGCCCCAGGATCCTTACCTGTCTGGTCCACATAACCTCATCATGCTTAGTGTTACCTCTCCTACTAGGTGATTGACAGCAGCTGCCTGCAGAAAATGCAATAATCTTCAAATCAAAGCCATTCAAGATTTATATAGATACGTAGTTGACAAGGTTAAAAAAAAGCACAGGTCCATCTAGTTCACCATGTGTGAGTGCCTAAGAATCCTGATAGATGTATGTGTGTGTGTGTGTGTGTGTGTTATTTTTAACCAGGAAACAAAATGTTACAAATGTGTAAATATATCATACAAAACCAGAAAGAAAAAAGCTAGGACTATCCATTCTACACTCTCACATAACATATGCTGTTGTGAAGTAGATCAGGGAGATCAGATCACACAGACTACTTGTAGAGTCACAGAGGATGGACACACCTCGGTTACCTCACCTAGCAGAAATGAGATGATCTGGCTTTTAGCTGGAGTATCATAAACATAACTTGTTTTAAATAATTTCTTAAATAATGTTTTTAAATCAATAACTTACAATACAAGATATTTTTTATCCTATTAACCTTTACAAAAGATGTAAAAATATATCAATGTGCAGTGGGGGGAAAGAAGCATCCAACACCCCTGAAAGTATCCAATGCCTCAGACTGATGGGGGCTGCAGTGCTGGAACAAAGGGGAGGTCTGAGTCATGGGCCACCAGAGATGTGAGTATACTTCCTCCTCTCTTGACAGAAACTAGCCTGTTTATTAATTTAACTGCTTCCTGTGTCTGGGAAGTGTGTTCAGTCATTCTCCCACAGCACTGTGACCATGATGTCACTGGCTGCTCCCAGTTACAGAGTAACAGTTGGATGCTGGTATTAAAAATCTACAGATCTCATAATCAGTGTGACCGAATCAGTTGATCACATAATCAGGAAGCATATGCAACACCTCAGACTTTGTTTGCCCTTAAGTGGTTAAGGAGCTAGGAAATGCCTGGAATGTCCTACAGCCCTTTTGTGCTTAGTCCATGACCACATGTGTAGCTGCTGGGACTTGCTGTTCGGGGTTTATTTATCAATTTTGATGACCACAAAACATGAATTATTTAAATTATTTTGTATATAGCTTCTTCACGATTTGTACCATAAACATTATTTTGGTGTCACTATAACAGGGAAAACTGCAGAATAAAATTAGGACTGTATGTCCATGGCAATACTTTGTTTTAAAGGTATCACTGGTCACACTGGACAAAAAAGAGAACTTCCTATTTATTGTAAATATTTAAAAAACTGAAATACATTCCCTTTAAGTTTTCCAGGAACATAAATATTACCAGAATGGATTGATATTTCTCCCTCTGAGCACGGAACACAGTCATAGCAACATACGTGATACCCTCCCCTTAGAGCTTTTCTAAACCCTGGAAGACATTCCTCAGAACATCGACCTCTTGGGACCTGAGATAAAAAAGAATATAAATCATTAGAAATACATTTATTAAACGTATAAAGCTAGATAATTAAAAAGGACAACATGCCAAGAAATTAATGTCATTCAATGTAGGCAAATTTTATTTTCAAAGTGAAAATCCTTGAGAACATTTTAGCCATGTTGCCTAATTTTCTCACGTGTGCGTCTGGTTGAAATTGAAGCTTTGGGTCTAATTCTAAGCTGGACAGTTTCCTTTCTCAATTTCTTCAGGAGAACAACATGGAATGCATGGGCCCTGATTTGTTTACTTTTAAAAAATGTTTTTTTAATTTGAAAGGCAATTTTTTCTCAGCTAAGTGAATGTGGTGAAAATTAATTTGGGAAAAGAATACCCAAAGTTAAAGGATTTCTAAATCCAAAAACAAAAATGTAATATTTTGCAGCTTACCAATCCTTAAATGTGGTGGCTGCATTGGGTTTTTTTTCCTTTATTTGCGCCTGATGATCCAGCCAGTAACACACTTTCTGTCTAAAGGGTGGCTCCACTACAATGTCCATCATTGGACAGTAGCATTGTCAGTAGGGATGAGCCGAACACCCCCTAAAATGCAATAGCCAATAGCAGGCTGGCTATTGCACCCGCCCACATGGGGGGACCTGATAGAGAACTTTCTCCTTCAGGCCCCTCCTCCGCTGAGCCCTGATTGGGAAAAGTCTTGCACCTGACCTGTGGTTAATAGTCAGGCGATAAAGTTCGGCGCCCGGCGAGCACTCGAACTGCCGATGTTCGATTCGAACTCATGTTCGAATCAAACACTCAGCTCATCCTTAATTGTCAGCATGTGAGGAGGTTGATACTGTAACAAATTTAGGTGGGCTTGACTAACAATTTAAATATGAACTACAGCTAACACATTTTAAGCAGTTGTACAGCAACAGTTTATTTATTTTCCTTTCGGTAAATGTTTTACATAAATGAATAAAAGTAAGAATGAATAAAAATAAAAGCTGACCATGGAAGTCACCCCTGTCACTGTTAAATGTTTTGTCTCTCTAACTTCCACCTTTACAAGACAGCGTGGTTAGTTAAAGGCAGTTGAAAAATTACAAACTTACTGGACAGATCACAGGTAACAGTAAAGGGGGAAACCTAAAAAAAGAAAACTAATGCATCCACCAAATCTAAGTATTGGAAAGCTGAAATATATACAAATTTAGATTTTGGGGTTAAGAATTAATTTTAAGTAAAAATTCACTCTGCATTGAGGAAACTCACTTTAAAAATAAAAAAATGCATTTAGCTTAATGAATGAGGTAAAGTGCTGCTGCCTTCAATCATCCAAAAATGTGCAAACAAAAATATTTTTTTTTCCTTGCATATCATCGGGTGTTATTTTTCTTAAAGACGGGAGAAGAGCAAGTGTGTAATTATATTGCATGATGATTAAGTTTATGTGGCCTTTGGTTTTAGGGTTAGGGTTACTTGGGGCTAATCGCTTTTTTATTGTTCAGCGCACTTAAAATGGCACTTTTGGGTATTAGGAATATTCATTTTTAGACAGGGATCCTTTAGTAAGATGTGCCAGTGTTGTTTTATTTGTGTCTGTTTTGTATCTCATGATGGAGCTGCAACTCCCATTAGGGGGCTTAGGAACTCTCTTATGTCTTATACATACTAGCTTGTGTCTGTCTGAATTGAGTGCATTTTCTGAATCGTTTATAAGTCTTTTGGGATAATGTTTGTCTCGTATATATTTGTTTGAGTTTATTTGCTTGAGCATGGAAAACTGTTAATGCTGAACAGTGCATTGAAATTGACCATACGGTATATTAGGTTTTCCAGCTTGTTAGATGATTTTTCCAAAATTCAATATGACCATTTAAATCTTCTTTTTTGAAAAAAGTCTCTAGACTGAATTTTATTGCCTTTGCTTATGAAAAGTTGAAGGTCCAAGAAGTCTATTTTGTGCAGATCATTGTTGAGAGTGAAAGTAAAACCTTCTTTTGTTTTGTTCACAAAGAGGTGTATGCCAGATGGAGCACTGTCCTAAATAATACCAATCAGATCATCAATGTATCTTTTGTAAAGGATGATATTGGATGGGAAGGCAGGATCTGAGGTGAAATGTTTGGACACAAGATGTTCCATTGTTAGGTTGGCATAGCCCTGTGCTTATATAGTCCTCATACCTTTATTTGAATGTATTGTTTACTGTCAAATATGATGGTGTTGTGGATCAGTTTGGGAACTGGGGTGGAAGCGCAGTGCACTTAGAT